GAGAACTTCAATCTTCATGTTGATTGATATGATTTATGCTTCCATTTTTGTGTTGAGCAATCTGATTTCTGCTTCCATCTTCATAAATATTGTTTCATAGCCATTAATTGCAACAGACATGAACTCAGTTCTGGTACTAATCAAGGTTCAAAGTATCGGAAATGCCAAGTGTATCGAAAAGGCAATTCAAGAGACGTATCGGGATACGCCTTGGATACGCATGCGTATCAGAGAAAAACTAAGATACGCTTGGAAACACTATAAATACTTTAATAAATCATAAAAATACATCAACAGCACTAAATATAAAACCTCAATGAGGTGTATATACATTAAATTAATATATTTTAATGGTTTTATGAAGAACTATATTGTAGCTAATTATAATTTCATTAAAAATCCTATGCTTAACTATAATTTATAAATTATAATTCTTAAGTTTTAATGTTTGATGGGATGGGAAAAACCCAACTCTCCTATCCAACCATAAAGCATGCATTGCCACAACTTCTATGTGAAAATATAATAATAATAATTTATTATTTATTATTTATTATTAATTTCAAAAAATTATAAAAAATAAATAAACATTATATAATATATTCAAAAAATAGTTATTAAAGAAGAAATTTCAATTGCTTTGTGGATATCATAGATCATCCATAGAATTATAATTATTCAATCATTGTGATCAAATGATAAAATATAATTAATTATTTATTTATTTTGTAATTCTAAAAATATAAAAATAAAAAAAAATTATTAAAGAAGAAATTTCAATTGGTCTGTGGATATGATAGATCATATTTAGTCTTTATAGGCAGAGAAAAATTACATTTTCAAAATTTTTGTTAATTTATATTTTCCCAAATATCTTCATGAATTTTCCATAAATCTACTGATAACACCAAAAAAAAATTGTGATTTTGAATGTAAGAAATGTAGATCAACATAAATTTAAACATTTAAGAAAAAAAAGAAATCACAAGATATTATAAAAAATTGAAAAAAGTTACCTATTTTTGTCATATTTTTTTCAAAATTTGAAAAATCTTAAAAAAAAATTAACAATTCACACTTGTTTCTTACAAACTTTTGCAAATCTAGCACTCTAGGAATGAAGTTTGGAGTTTTAGAGTCATTTGGGTGTGAAAGAAGGCTTATTTCGGGGAAAAGAAGCTTGCTTTCCCCCTTTAATTTTTTTTTTTAGTTTTTGGCCATATCTTTTTCGTCGATACGCCCCTAATACGGGTCCAATATGCAAGAAAAAAGACAAAACGTCCGATTTCCATGTCTATCCCATATCTATTTTTCGAAGATAAGATACGCCTCGTATTAGGTGTATCGTATCGAAATTTTAAACCTTGGTACCAATTGTTACAACCTCGGAATTTTGTAACATGAAAAACAAATAAAAATAGAGAAACGGGTAAGAAAGAGTCCACTTTGAGGGGCTGGTCCTACAAATCACTTGAAGGATTATTGACTCCAAATAGAATTCTTTCTTTTCTACCTAAAAGCTATGCAACATCTACAATATATTAGAGAGATTATCAATATTTCTTCTCAATAGCATATCAATATTTATTAATTTTAGAAGAAACGGAAGAGAGGATCCGACCCCATAATTGGGATAAGGCTTAGAATGGAATAGAGGAAATAGAGGAAATTAGGATAAGGATCCGACCCCATGATGATGAAATGGAATAGAGGAAATAGATAATCTTGAGGGTGATGAAACATTATGTGAATCAGAAAGGATTAGAAGATGGCAATTAAATGAGGAATATGATATGATTTTGAAAAGGAAGAGATATGTTGGAGAAAAAATCGAGATGCAAATGGATTAGAGAGAGAGATGGGAAAACAAAATTATTCCATTCTTTGGATAATAGTTAGAGATAAGGGCTATAATGGGCCAGGCCAGGAATTGCACCAATTATAAGGGATATAGGTTGGGTTCGGGCCTATATGGTCTTGGGTCAGGCAGAGCCTAGCTCTGAGCCTATGTCTCTTATGCATAAGATACTACATATACATAATATCTTATATTATATGGCATATAACATACATATAAAATTTATTTTATACATATTATAATGTAAAATATTATATAATATATATTGTAGGTGTCATATTATATACTTATATAAAATATACAATAAAACATAAAATTGCATATACATGTATATATAAATTATGTTAACTTACATGTATATACATATGTGCGGACCAGGCCGGGCTAGAATTTCTGGGCCAGGCTTTGCAGGCCAGATTGAAAATGATCAACTGTAGTTAGAGATCCAAGAACTTTGTGACTAGGTTGGAGATTGATAAATTTGAATTAATTTCACCTTCAGAGATTGATGGCCTTCTTTTTTTGACAAGTAACTGATAACTTCCACTAAGAAAAGCAGCAAACCAATCAAAGTATTCAAGGAAACTCCTAGAGGAAGTGCTTGCCTCACCATCTAACTATCCAAGGCATTTCATCTTGATTCTTCAACCACCACATAACAGTTTGACAATCTTCTACCTCTACATCTTTTACCCCCTTTAGCCTTAGAAGTTTTAATTTCACCTTCAGAGATTGATGGCCTTCTTTTTTTATCAAGTAACTAATAACTTCCACTAAGAAAAGCAACAAACTAATCAAAGTATTCAAGGAAACTCCTAGAGAAAGTGCTTGCCTCACCATCTAACTATCCAAGGTATTTCATCTTGATTCTTCAACCACCATATAACAGTTTGACAATCTCCTACCTCTACATCTTTCACCCCCTTTAGCCTTAGAAATTTTAGACCTTGGATAACTGCCATCAATTTTGCCCTTRGAGAGTTACCATGACCAATTGGGCCTGAAAAGAGTCTTGCATCTCAACTAGCTTGGGCTAAAAATGATAAGAATCTTTCATGAGTATTGATGACTTGATCATTTTAAATCTCCCTAAGAATCAGATTCACCCTAGAAACTGCAAGTTGATGTTCTGGAGAGGCCACAACTACTGATATTTTTGGCATCAAATCTAGAGACCCTTCAAGAAAGAGAAGATTCGAAAAACCATATTTTATTAGGTTTATGGGAACAAAGTCCTAGGACCATATGAATTTTTTATAGATCTTTTATTAGGAACATTGGGAGATGATCAAAGATGATTTGATAAGGGGTTTTCAGGAATTTCATTCAAGGTGAATCATCAATATTGGGGCAAATGCTGCATTCATTGCCTTGATCAACCAGAAGGTGGAACCATAACATCCAAGGGACTTTAGACCAATCAGGCAATCAGTTTAAATTGGGAGTTTCTACAAAGTTATCATTAAGACCTTGTCCATGAGATTGAGAAAGACTCTTAAGTTCCCTATCTCCCTTTGTCAAGGTGCTTTTGTCTAAGAAAGACAAATTACAATCACCAATGAATTCATCCAAGATATGATACGAATCGGGGGTAAAGATTTGTGTGCAAATTTGATATCAAAATTCCTACAACATTTTCAAATGGAGGTCATGGATTAGGAGGTGCCTTAAGACAACATTTGGGAAGTAAGATTGTCAGGTAGGGGTGTAAATAGGATTGATCCAAGATCCGGTCCTACTTTGTTGGATTCAGATCTCCCCTGTTTGGATCTTCAGATCGGATCGGATTCAGATCACCCCTATCCGATCCGAGAAGATCCAATCTGATATATATATATATATATATATATATTATTTATTTATATAAATATATTATTTATATTGCATTTTTGTAAATTTGTTATATTGGTTATTTTTTTATAAAAACATGTATATATGATGAAAATAGTTGAATAGATACTTGTATTTTTTTGTTTTTCTCTTTTTAAATTATTATATTTTAATTTTCTTTTAATAATTTATTAATTTTTTTAAGAATTTTAAATCGGATCAAATCATATCCGAAAATCTGACTTCTTCATCAGATTCAGATTCGAATCCATACTTATGAGATCTGATCGGATCTTCGGGTCGGATTCAAATATACCCTGATTCAAATCCGATCTGATCCATTTGCATCCCTATTGCCAGGAGATATTCTGTCATCCTTGGATGTTCTATAGCCTCATAGCCTATGAGTTACCCTAGGAATCCCCCAAGGGAGACACCTCAGATATTTGTCATTTTGGGGTCTTAATCTTGAAAGATTTATTAAAAGATCAGTCTCTCTCTGGGGGTGGGGCATCTTGGAGAGAATCATCAGAAATTTCCTAGAACAGGAAGGAAGGTAGCCTTGGGTGGGTAGACATGCTCTTAGGAACAATTCAAAGTATTAGTGTTCATCCCAATGGATGGGACACTAAACTAGTAGTGAGAGAAACCATGGCATTCTGTGAGGGGGAAGGGGACTTGAGCATGGTGTTAGAGATTCACATAGAAACTGGTGAGTATTTCTGAACTAGTATGAATCTTAGGATCCGTAATCTAATAAAATCATATAAACTTGTTTGCCTTTCTTTTCCTTTTTTTTTTCTAGCATCAAATCTAATTGGTTCCATTTTTTTCCTTATCAAACCAAATAATAAACAACTTGCAACTGGCTTCAATTGAACCAATTTGCAATTTCAGGTAAAGAAACACCACTTAGGTACCATGCTCCAAACACCATGTCACCATATACTAAATTTAAGTTTCACTTGCACTACAGTGGGAAAAGAATAGGTGGCACCATTAAAATCCAATATATTTCTTCTATGTTTCGTTCATGTAGAGGAACCAACAAGACACCTAGAGGGCTTTTGGACCCCTCTGGTTGTGTTCCACCAGGTGCACATGCTCAAATATATAGGTATTTAAGATCCGTCCAAATATAAACAGCAGATAAATGACAACTCAAAACAAACTCAGATCGGCCAACATAAAGAAATGTCATATGGTAGTCCAACTAATATTCACAGTTTTCTCGACGAAAATCTGGTCACCGCTTTCCAGATTCCCGAAAGCCCAAAACAAACTGAAGAACCAAATTAAGAAGTAAAATTACCTCGAGAGAAGGCGAGAGAGGAGGATTGCTATTGCCAAATAGGTAGCGGAAGAAGGCCTCGAGATGGATGCCCCTCCTGAAGATATTAAGATGCTTGAGCTCTCTCAGACTATCAATGATGTTTTCTGCATCCTCCGTGGTTGCATTCTTCTCTCCCTGAATCTCGACCAGGAATTTACAGAGGTGTTCTGCGGTCATGATACCATTTTCCGAGTATGCGTTGAACAGGTCCTTAATCTCCTTCGGAGCTTCAGCTGCTGACTGCTTAAACCTTCGGCGAAAACAAAAGCAAACCCTATAAGTCTGCTTCGACGTCATTTCGTAGGTAAAGAGAAAAGATCGACCGGAATTGCAGGTTGATAGTTTGGTGGCTTTAATTTTAGCCTTGAGAGAGAGAGAGAGAGAGAGAGAGAGAGAGAAGACGACGAAGAAATTGTTGGTTGGCTCTGCTGTTTTGAGGGAAGGGGAGGGAGAGAGGCATATGTATGGGACCCACTACACTTTACATCTCAGCAACGGCTGGCTGCTCCGGCAAACCAAGCATCTATTCTCGTTGTCTCTGCTTCGTAACGGTAGTAGCAGTAAGTAGCAAGCATAGTAGTGAAATGGCGTCAATCATCCTCGACTCAAGGCAGAAGGCATCGACATCCTTCTCATTGAAATTCCCATAATGCAGTTGTCCTTTTCACACGTGCATTGACGAAAAGGCCCTCTTCGGTCATGTCCTTTTCATAGATGTCCTTCGGAGTCCGGCTTCGCTTCGGTCAGGGCAAAGCCCGTTCCAACAGCCTTACGTTGGGAATATTTCCACATACAAAATTTATTTCATGACAGATATTCCCAATGCAACGTTACAAAGTGCTGTTCGAACGGTGCGAGCACCCACTTGCCCCGACAGAAGCCGAATTCCTTCGCGAATCGTAAATCGTGAATCGTCAATGATTTCTCCCTATCTGCAGACTGCAATCATTGAAGAAAGATACACTCTGGACCTATTGGCACATATACTGCTGCGACGGTCACAGAACTCCCTTGCGATCCTTCGATGAAATACGAACACGTCAGTAATGAAAAAAATAGTAGGGAATTCGAAACATCATCACGTGACCGTGACAGTATTTTATTGGGCGTCGCAAGGGAGTGCTGCGTCCGATATATAGGCCTCTTTGATATTTTATTCCGTTATAAAATGCATATCCGCGGGATGCAAGATCCACTTCCACAGTTTTCATTTGATCAGCTAACCACCAAATCAATTAATCTGGAGCGTTCGTTGCCAATGAAGATATTTTAGAAGATAATGCCGTCCGTATGATGTCATATAGGGCCAAAACCATCTTGAAGCAGCAATAACAAACAGGTCTGCAAGTGCAATATAAAAGCGACCCGAGGGCTGAGGCGTCGTCCTGACGTCCTCGACTCCTGTTCCTTTATGCTTTTTGGCACTTTCGGAGGAAGGAGAACGGAGAATAGACAGATGTATGAGAACATATCATCCTCGAGAGATATTCTCAATTCACGGGGTAGTGCGTTATAGTAGACCTAAGTAAAGTTTTCGTGGGAGAGATTCCGAGGAGACCGGATCTGCTCATCACATAGGACGACTCATACGCACATCTATTTTTCACGAAAAATGTTTCCAATGCACGGTGAATGTGCATGTGAAGCGCCCAAGTATGAGGAACAGATCCCGTTCCGATTCGAGATCCGGAGATTGTAGAAAGTACCATATTCCCCGAATCCTAAGGCCTGGGTCAGCGGGGCAAAGGCCCACAGCCCACAGGAATGAATTTGGCCCATTTGTTCATGTCTGAAGCGTTTCCATGCATACTTGATCATGATAAAGATGAAGCCAGAAGCACGTGATAATTTGTAATATTCAGCTTTTATTGGGTATGTTGATGTTAAAGAGAATCTGATTTCCTTCGCATTTACACCAACCATGATGCTATGATGCAGGATTTCTCTCTTTCTTTCCTTTCTTACTTGGTGGGAATTCGAATCGCTTTCCAGTGTACGCATTCTTTCTTTTCCGTTCTTTTCTTTTAAACTATATATTTTATTCTTAATCAATTAACGGTTTTTATTCCAAAAGTTGAAATCCTGCGTTGGTTGTTGGAATTTGATTGGGCGAGCTGAACGCTAATGTCATGGTAAGGGTTGAAGAGTAATGGCCAATGGCTTCGGCCTTTATGAGGTGAGCCCTGCCGCATGGATAGCCTAAAGGATGCGAAGAGCCCAAATCGGCTATCGGTGAGTTATTTCATTATTTGAGGGGCTGCCCGCTTCAACAGGTGTGTGTTTAAATACAGTGGTTTTCGGTTTTCCAAGATGAGTTATTGGGCCCTACAAGGAAAACCTTTAAGTTATATTCAATTGAAAAACCGGAAGGATCAAATTCGCTGTCGGTCAATCATCTTTTGGACTGTTCACTTCAGCCTCTATAAATATTTATTCATAGTACCTCGAAGCAGTTGAACTAATTTAATTGAATGTTGAGCTCAGCCCTCCCGGCACTAAATAATTCATTCAGAACACTTCAAAGCTCAAAGTTCAAAAATTTAACGGAATTTTTAGCTTAACGCTCCCAAATGGACCCTTATTACTAGATGCAGCGGTACATGGATTACATGTTCGGATTCTTTGAGTATGATATTAGAAAGATATAATATTTCTGAAATTTTTATGTAACCCCCTGAATAAATAAGGAAAGAAAATTAAGAGAGGGTGGAATGTAAAGGAATAGTTTGTGCGTGCAAGCTATAAATAGTTGGGCCTGGCCTACTGCCAGTTATGACAAGCATATGGTACCAATGCCAAGATATACAAATTCTTCCAAACTCTGCCAAGCCTATATGCTTATAATGACATTTTCAAATTCTTTATATTTTTGGGCTGCTTGTTATCCTTTAGTGGGATTGGTAGAAATACAAATATATACAATGTAAATATATAAAAAATAATACAAAATACAAGATTTTATACTCTACAAATATAAATACGGAGAGTGCAAAACTTTGTATCTTGTATTATTTTGTATGTATTTGCACTGTACATATTTATATTTGTACTCTTTCCAAACTGAGCCTCAAATTCAATTTAGAAAGAGTACAAATACAAATATATATAGTCTAAATACATAAATACAAGGTTTTTCACTCTACATATCTATAAGGGAAAATTCCCGATTAGTACCTTATACTTTGGGCCTAGTGCCACTTTGGTTTCCGAACTTTAAAATGCGATAATTCAATACCCAAACTTTCAAAATGTGTCAATCCAATACCTACCGTTAATCAGCCGTTAAGTGGTATTTGAAAAAGACACAAATGCCCTTCGAATGTCATCTAATTTTCTTTATCAACCATCCAATCGTTGACAAAAAATTAGCAATCCCAAATCCTTGCTTCTTCTATTCAAGAAAATTGGGGTCACGTCAGCCATTCTAGACCCCAACTTTCTTGAATAAAAGAGGCAAAAATTTACGACTGTTAATTTTTTGTCCACATTTGAATGGTTGATAAAGAAAATTTAATGACACTCATAAGGCATTTTGTGTATTTTTTAAATGCCTTAATCAAATGTTTCCACATTGACCAAAGTTTAACCTCATAATTTCAAATTTCAAAGTAGTTTTAAAATAATATTTCTTGTTAATTATTACACAGTTTTTTAGTTCAGTAAACATGTTACACAAACTGTTGTGGGTAGCACACCCCAATCATCTTATATAAATATATATATATATATAGGGTGCTTTCTTGATGGTGCGCGATCTGACTACTCCTACCTGGAGGACGATCTGGACTCCAAGTGGACGGCGAGCTGGATCGGTCTGCAAAACAATCTATCAGAGAACCCGGGGTGGCTAACTCGGCGAGGTCGCTCTGATGCTTAAGTCAGTATGCTATAAATGCAAGTTGAATGCTTGAGAGCTTGAGTGCTAGAGAGTAGAGTAATCACGCGTACCTTTGCCTTGAGGGTTCTGCCTTTATATACTGGAGTAGTCGTGGGTCTCACGAAAAAGCTCTGGGATCTCCGGGGTATGGAGATAAGGTTCGTTCTGCTTCCGAAGGAGTAGTACGTAGATAAGGCTTATCGTTTCACCTCCAACTCTGTCGGAACCGAGACGAGTCCTCATCGTGATCTCGAAAAAGTCGAGATCTATTAGCTCATCGTGATCTCGAGTATCTTGGGATCTGTTGGAGAGACCTCTGGAGTCGGTTACGTGGCAATTCTGTCATTAGCTCCGAGCTAGTACTTTGATTCTTCAGTCTAGAACTGGATCGGATGCCGAGGTGCCTCTACATCGAGGTGGGTTTTGGGCCGAGGCAACTGAATACCCGAGCTTCAAATGTCACAAACTAAGCTTGCCAGGCTGAGCTGTCATCCCTCGATCAAATCATGCCCACGTGTCCCTTTCTCGCTAGGTCGGGCCAAATCACCCTTCATCAATTGTCCCCCACTCCACGAGCCAGGGGTCTTAACCCGGTGCGAGGAGTTCATGACAAGTCCTGGTGGATTTGGCACGAGGTCTAGGTGACTTGACGGGCAAATCGTTGGTTGGACCTATTCGATCGCTCAGCTCAACCTAGGAATAACCCAGGTCGTGTCTGAGTTACGCGCAGACGTCATGTCGTTTTATAAACTCCGCGAACGTCAAAACATGCGCTAAATCAATTTCAACCTCGAGGGTCGTGCAAATGGTTTCCCTAGGAGCCGTCAGATCATGTTGATCTTGACCGTTGATCCCCGGATACACTGGCTATAAATAGGGGCCAAGGGGCTCACTTTCCTCGCCACAAGTCCGTAAATCCGCAATCTTTGAGGTCGCGTTCAAGTCTTTCCGAGGTCACCTTCCTTTCTTCAGTCTTCCTTTTGGTGAGTCTCCCTTTGCTTTTTCTTTTTGATTTAGTGTCTTTTTAGAATGTCTAGCTTTAGCTTCGATAGTCTCTTAGGCGGGCGGCGAGTCCGCCAAAGCCGAAGTGGGTACCTCGGCTCAGACCGTGGATCCTCGTCCTACCGAGGAGGTTACTTTGGGTCAGGACATGGTCCACGGTCCCCCCGAGGTGAACTCACCTTGGCGGGAGCAAGAGGCCTCACGTAACCTGGCTTCCACCTCACATCAAGGTTGGCTACCAAACAATTCAGTCCGTCGATAATGACGACGGACAGGCTCCTAACCTTAACAGACATCCCAATGACTTTGTGTATAGCATCCCCTTAGGCAACTTCCCTTGGGACCATGGTCACAACGAGATCGTGATCTTCGAGGAGCAGTTTACAACTAGTCTTTGCCTTCCACTTCACCCTCTCATAGTCGAGATCGCAAAATTTTTCAACATCACCATAAATCAGTTACACCCGAACTCTATCCACAACATCGTAGGGACCATTTCACTTTTTCATGATTACGACATTCCCCTTGACCTCGGTGTTTTTTCTTCTACTCTTTCCATAAAGAAGAATTCGTCTTGTGTTCTGCCCGAGCACAAGCGAACTTACTATCCATCACCTCACCTTGGTTTCAAACTTTTGCACAAGCTCCCTAACAAGGTCCCAGCCTGGAAGAGGCGCTATTTCGTGGTCCGAAACACCGAGGGGTGGCCTTTCCTGACTCATTGGAGGGCAGCCATACAGGAC